GGGGGGGGGGGGGGGGGGGGGGAACATTGCAGATAGGCACATAGCACAGGAGCAATCCATTGTCAGTACTGCTAGGAGAAAAGTTTGGCCCCATTTAATGCTGGCTAAAATCAAAGAAACTCTCCCTCTCCCTTCAAAATCAAAGAGGTTTCTTATTTTTGTTTCCTCTTGCCTTTATCACTTCTGAATTACTAAAATAAACCCTAACTAAACTTAAAGCCAGAAATCTGTAAAAAGGTTTCATTAAAAGAGTCAGGAACCTACCACCTGAAGGACAAAACCTATTTCTTTTACTGGGGTTTTCATTATGAGAAAAACATTAAAAAATAGCATATTTACTTAGAGTGAGTAGAATCTTGAAACACTAGCTGAGTAGATAAAGTATTGTGTCTTATCACAATGCTAGCCAAGACTTGGGGGAAAGAAATAAGGAACAAAATAATCACACCAGCAACTTTGCGGAAGATATTTTCAGTTGACTGAAGAAGGAAGCCAACATGCATGACACTTCTCCACTGCTAGAAGCTAACCACAGGGCAGCAATTCAGTTGAGACTGCTGTTCTTTATTGCCAGTAGAAGAGCAAAAGGTAATTTCTTGTGATGTTTAGCTTCAAGACATTCATTTAGATTAAACAAACATCTTGGAAAAGGGAAGACTAATCAGGCACTCATAGAACAATGAGAGAGCACCCCATGTTCTCTATTATCTTGGGCCACCCTGCAGATTCTCAGTATAACCACGACAGTAGCGAGGCAGCCACATACCTGTTCTGTTTAACAGATTATAGGGGGAGGTATGTTTTTATGGTTAAGGTGGTAGACTGAGACTCCAAAGAATTGGGCTCAATTCCTAGCTATGCCATGGATTTTTTAGGTAATTTGGGGAAAATCACTTAGTCTCTCTATGCTTCTATTACACATTTGTGAAGTAAAGAGCATTAGGTTTTTTGTTTTTTTTTTTGGCCTGGCATGACTTGATTCCTAAAACATCTTCAATCTTTACTCTGGCTTTTCTTCTCACAAGCAAAACACTACAAGTATAATATAATCCTATCATAGTTTTCTCGTACTCCATCATTTATCTTCAAAGTATAACCCTTGTCCAGACATACTGAAGTACCCAAGAAAATTAAGTTGAATTCTGCAGTGAACTTAAGTTTGGTCTTATTTTCATTAAATTTTTCCATCATTTTGTTTTAAAAACATCCAATTTGATTACTGTATATTTATGTAGCCACGTTTCTCATCTCTCAAAATGTTACGAAATCAGGGTGATACACTAGGTTGAAGTAAAACATGCAAAATAAAATTTTGCAGGGCTTAATGAAAACTATTTTCAGTCTTTTTGCAAAAGTCCAAACTTTTTACATTTCTTCAGCTCAAACCTCTTATCTACTGGTGCTGATAGTAGGATAACTTGTAACATATACAGTGTACTTATACTAGAAAATTAGACGTGGAATGCTGAGATCATTTGTCTGAAATATTATATAAAAATAAACTCTATTATTATAAAGACAATTCAGCCATTAACTTTTCTGAAAATTCAAACAATGCTCACAGTTATCTTTTCAATTCATTTTCACAAAGTTTCTATTTTTACCTTAACTTCTGCAGCACAAAAAAAAGCTAATGGCAACTGAAATAACAGTTATATCAGGCCATGTATTCATAAGGCTTAGTGTACAATATGGCTTTTAATGAAAAGGTTAGTATGACCTGCTCAGTCTTCAGTGCTTGTGACGTTTTAATGGGAACTGAATTCATGGAAGTATTATATGAAAAACTAAAACTGTGGGAAAGGATGACTTATTCTTTAAAAGGTTTTAACCATGTACTTATGCTATTTTAACACTAGTGATACAGCACATTTAACAATTTAATTTGACCCCATCCGTCAAGATTTAATTAAATCACTTTCATAAAGCTCCTTCTGTTTAAATGATTTATAGCAAAATGACATAATACTTTAACAGCAGTTAAAATTTATAATTTCTCCTGCCTACTTCATAGAAATTTTTAGAACTTCACCAACAAAAGACTTTACAAGCCCATTAAAATCTTCTGTCTAGGCTTCAGTTATATGCATAACTCAAAATATACTTGTTTCCTAGTCAAACAATGATCTTTAAAAATAACATTCTACCCACTATTACACATTGTTTTGTCGCCTACTGTAAGCCACCCTGAATCAAATAAATAAATGAAATTCAAGCACTGGAAGTTCTGAAAGGCAGGCACTGATCTTTGCTTGTTCTTCAGCAAGAATACATTTCTAGAATCAGAATTTAGCTAGATTTTTTTGTCTGGTCACACAGGACACAATAGAATGAATGCAGCTTTACTCTTCTAAAGCTGTATCACCTTCACAGGGTTGAGAGCAGAAAAATCATTACATGGGACTAGGCACAGACAAAGAACAGACCAGTGCCATTCTTAAGACTCCAGCAGCAACTGAATCCTGCAAACCTTTGCTGCCAGCATTTGGTCTACTGGCTCCAACAGCACTATAGTGGTAAGGAGTGTTTGCGGAATTAAATACTTGCTGCAGCAGTCCCATTTCATCTCTATACATAACTAGAAGTCTGAAATTGGATGTAGCAGAGTTTACTCTAAGATGTAAACAACAGGAAACTGAATTATGAGGCTGTTCTGAGGTGCTGGAAACATCCTAAACTGTAAGTGCAAAGTTAATTACCAGACTCCAGAGTTGGGGGTGCAGTTTCCTGCTTTTTGTATTTTAGAAAACATTATTCTGTACGATGTTGCCAGCAACTTTCAAGCCAGACTAGCACTGAGCACTACGTTCATCAATCCACATTCCTGGCCTTACTGATGAGCCCCAGGAACTGCTTCCTCTATTTAGCCAAGGGGCAGGCAAAATACAGCCCATGGGCTGTATTCAGCCTGCAAATTGATCCTATCCAGCCCGCTGACCACTACCAGGAGCCTGAGGAGGGAGGGCTGTTCCGTGCATCTCTCTGTTCTGCCACAGCTGGAGTTGGCCCACGCTGGGATGCACGCAGACTCCTAGTTAACCTAGTCACCAACTCAACCAGTAGAGGTAGCAGCATTCAGCTCCTCATCCTCATCTCATCTCTGAATAAGAATCATCTAGCTGAAATACCCAGCAACCTAATCCCAATGCCTAGACCAAAAAAAGGAGTAGTAAGGGGTAAAGCCTCAAGAAATTGCCAGAGTTAACTGAACAGCAAGCCAAGGAAATGACAGAGCCAATCAGGAGCACTGCACTTTTTATGAAACTAAAGCCCACCCCATATTGCAGCCTATTTCTGATCAAGATCAGGGCTGTCCAATGTCCAAGCCACAAGGGGTCACATGCTGCCCCCCACTCCTCCCAAACACATGCACAACCTTCCTGCAGCATGGACAGGCTCCCTCTTTTGCTGCATACAGCTTGGGCAGCCAAGACCTCTCCTAGCTGCTGTGGCAGGAGCAAATGGGGAGGTGGAATGGCAGCCAGGCAGGTTGCATGAAGCTCATGAGCTGCCAGTTGGACAACCTTGATCAAGACACTCACTATCACTTATGCAATTAAGGGGGCAAATATAAATCTGATCTGCTCATATGGACATACAGCTTGCAGACTTCTCAATCTTCAGTTTAACAGACACTGCACTTGCCGAACACTAACTTTACCATGTTATAATTTTTTTCTTCAACCAATGTAGGCACAGACGTGGATGTCTGTGAAAACACTGGTAGACACAGCCCAGGACATCACAAGCAATATTTTTCCTAAGTACTTTCTCTTTGCTGTATTAGTCTGACATTTTTAGCACAAAGTATATCAAATACAGATGTCAGACTGTTTTAGTCTACCAGTTTCAGATTGAATTGCATGCAAGTAACTGACTATTTACAAGAGAGAGAGTTGGGTGTGTTAGCCTGAAATCAGAAAGGAGTAAGGGTACATTTGCACCTTACAGACTATCCAAAGGAGATCTATCTAGACTGATATATCCACAGACAAATCAACAAATAGATCTACTTTGGTTAGTCTATAAGGTGCAAATCTACCCTGCCTTCTATTTACCAGTAAAACAGGATAGAATTTTCTCTTGAGTGCAATCACTTAATTATACTGCTACTATAATTTCACCTTAGAAAAGAAAAACTTAAGACATTAGAAAAAATAAATCCTCCTCTTCGTGTTACAAGTTCTCTGATAGTTTTTAAGTGTTATTATATAAAACAGTAACAAATAACTCGAAAGAACACTGCAACATTTTTTATTACATAAAAAGCTTTTCAAGGGATCTCAAAGCATCCAGTGGAGTCCACTCAATACATTTGTGCAGGATTGTAGATAAATCTTATTATGCCCATTTCATATGTGGGTTAGCCAAACAGAGTTAAGTAACTCAGAGACTCATACATTCAGCAGCCAGACCTGAGAGCAGAATCCAGAAAAACTAGCCTAGGTTTTGTCCCAGAAACCATCCTTCTGGCTTTCAAGAAGCTTTCCTGATCTTCTAATGACTTTTAAATTAATTCTACTTTACATTGTTGGGATTTTTATTAGCTGAAAGTCAGGTAAGTCAGAATCTCCAGTGGATGCAACCTACCCTGCATTTTGGTCACTGAGGCAGAAGCACTGACTCCTGCCTGACCCCTTTCTTCTGTGAACTACAGAAAAGTTGTTATCTCAATGTGGGCAAACACTACTTTTAAAAACTAGAAGTGCAGAACCTACCTTTGCAATTTGATCAAACTTCCCAAAGAGTTCATTCAGCATCACTACCAACTCCTTGGGAGAGCAGTCGCTAGCCAGGCGTGTGAATCCGACAATGTCTGCATAAAGGATGCTGGACAAGGACATAGTATGCAGTCACATTTTAATTATTTCCTATTAAAATACATGGCTTTTATCTTGCAGTATGTTATGCTTAAAATCTAAAACGCATCTATCAGATAGATTCTTTCATATTCTCTTTCAAAATCAACTCCAGAAGAGACTGAAAGGGCAACATATTTTTTAACTAAATTTGAAACACGGGACTCGAGTCCAGGACACACTATCTGCAAAAACAAAAGAACTTACTTTGGCACAAAAGCCATCAAAATTTGACTTTTCAGTAGCCTAAGGCCATAAAACACTGTTAATAGTGAACTGCCAATGTAATTAAAAGGCCCAAATTTAACAAATTTAAAACAGTTTCGTAGATGTTAGTGTCAGAAGGGACCTATTAGTTGAGTCTAAACCCCCGCCCTGGGCAGGAATGAGTGCTGGGGTCAGATGACCCCAGGCAGGTGTCTGTCCAATCTCCTTTTAAACACCTCCAAGGAAGGGGACAGCACCACCTCCCTTGGAAGCTTATTACATATTTTGGCAACCCTCACAGTAAAGAATTTTTTCCTGATGTCCAATCTGAATTTGCTCTCTTCCAGTTTGTGGCCATTATTTCTAGTTACCCCAACAGGCACCCTGGTAAACACTGCATCCCGTATTTCTTGCTGGCCCCTCCGATGAGTTTGTAGGTAGCTACGAAATCACCTCAGCCTCCTCTTGCAGAGGCTGAAAAGATTCAGGTCCACATAGGGTTTTTTCTGTAGGCCTTTAACCAGATGAGTGGCCCTCCTCTGAACCCTCTCCAGGCCATCCACATCCCTCCTGAAGTGCAGTGCCCAAAACTGGACGCAGTACTCCAGCTGTGGCCTGACCAATGCTGCATAGAGGGGAAGTATCACCTCCTTAGACCTGTTTGTGATGCATCAACTTCTGCAAGAAAGGGTGTGGTTAGCTTTACTTATTACCTCATCACGCTGGCGACTCGCGTTCATTTTGGAGTCGACTACGCAGTTGTGCTACTTAGAATGGTACCTCCTCCCAGGCTACAGGAGTGTTGATGATTCTTCCTCCCCAGGTGCAACACATGACACTTATCCTTGTTAAACTGTACCCTATTCTGCTTGACCCATTTCCCCAGCCTGTCCAAATCAGCCTGGATTTGCTACCTGCCATCTAGTTTGTGTACCTCAGGGT